CATTGTTGGGAAAGAGATCTCTGATGGAAAGTAGAAGTTTTGGTTCTAGTATAGTGTCAATGTATTTTCTGGCATTCAGTGTCCCATCGATGACATGAAGGCGACCAATACCATCTGCTGACATGCATGACCAAATCATAACACTAACTGAGTTCTTCACAGTTGCTTGAATGCAATCAGGATGTAGCTCTTCTCCTATTCTACGTCTTACTCGTCCATCACTACCGAATAACGATATCTTAGTTTCATCACTCCACATAACTTGTGACCACTGATCATCTGTCCATTTAATGCGTTTCTTTGCCCACTGTAGTCTTCTTTTCCGTTGCTGAAAATTAAGATAAGGCTTTTTTCGTGGAATTCTACCTCTCATTCCAACATCTGTTAATCTTCTCCTGATTGTTCTTGAACTGACAGAAACACCAGCATCATTCAGATCACTTCTGATGGCCGCTGATGACATTTTTCTATCTTGGAGACATAGTCTTTTTATTCTTCTGTCATCAATAGATGTGGTGCACCTTTTTCGGCCTTCTCCTTCTTTGTTTTTTTATTGAATTTGTCTCCTGATATCGTAAACAAAACTTTCGGACTCCAGATGTAGTCATAGAACCACCCGCCTGTCTTGCAATTTCAGCATAGGAAAGAACACTTTCTTGTAACACAACAATATTACATCTCTTTCTAGGTGTCCAATCTACTCTTTTATTTGATGTCATTGCTTCTTGACTAAATATTAAAAATTTTTACAAAAATTCCTATTTGTAATTGCAGTGTATAAGAAAACAGGTCCTTCTTCTACAGAAAAAGCAAATAATGAATTGTTTCAAGTGTAAACATGATGTCAGCTTTACTGGCAGTTACTAACATTTGATTGGTTCTCAGAACAAGAACAGTGATTGGCCAGGAAAGTTAGACATTACAAACCACTTCATAACTGTGTTTTTTAGTTATATTAAAGTACATACAGTCAAAAGTCGTTAATTCGGACACCCATAATCCGGACTTCAAAGCTAAAAAATTTCTGCGCATGCGCCGCGTTGGCACATGTGCACAGGCGTTTTACGCGTGCGCGTAAGACCTTGACTACTGCGCATATGCGTGTGCGCAAGTGCAGAATACGTTTTTGCCTGCGCGTTTAATGTATAACGGACGGTTATACATTAAATATTAAAATGAAATAGATAATTAGATAAGCTAAAATTATCTAATTATCTATTTCAGTTAATGTTAATGATTGCGTTGTTCCTTAATCTTCGAAATGGATCCCGCTTGTTATTTTTTGCAGACTGTAAGACCAATTTTATAAAAGTAAACTTGAACTTTCGATTATGTCAAATAGAATTTCCGATGCTGGAACTTCCAAAGGATCTACAAAACGAAAGTAATTTTCGATGTCCAACAAACAAAAAGTGAAATTGCTGCAAAAATGGATAAAGACATGAAGAATGTGGACAGAGAGGTTAGTGAAAACGAAAAAAATTTCGATTGACAAGTTAGTCGGTATTCTGGGCACAGCAATTAACGGGACTTGAAACGGCGGAACTTTGTAAACTGAAGAAGAAATTATGTCTGTTTATAGAATTAAAGAGAAAGTATATCCACATAAACGAAGCAACTTAAACAACTTACATGAAAGAAAGGAAATGTTAATAAAGTAAACAAATAAATATTAAGCTTTTTTTTTGTAAATTTTGATAACCCTTTAGATCATAATTGTTCTATTTTATAAATTACGGTTTCATATTTTTTATTTAGAATTCTGCATGCCATTACGAGATTTAAACTGATGATCTATAATCCGGAATCGCCGAAGTCCCGACGAGTCCGGATTAACGACTTTTAACTGTATAACTTTTTTTTTTTTTTTTTTTTTTGTGTTGCAAATAATTGAATTTTGTATTCTCTTTAAAATGATATATACAAGTTTGCATTTTGCTAAACGTAACATTTTCTATAAGCATACAAAGTTCAAAAACATAAAAATTTCCGAAAGTGTCCACAGTTTTGGCCACTAACTGTATCTAGCCCTCGAGTTTTCTCTGCTTTAGGCCACACAACCAGCTAAACAGTGCCTGACAAGTTTTGGCATTTTCTTGCATGAATAAATGGGCTTCAAAGTTCCCCCCCCCTTCCCTGTTGCGCAAATTTTGGAATTTAAGTGGAAATAGAGAATTAGTATTATAGCCGCATAATTAATTTTCCAAATAAAAGAACACGATTTTATCATCGAAAAAAAACCTTGCAATGTTCCCCAAACTTACTGAATGTTTTCAAGTGAAATTAGCAAGGAATGTTGAGTATTATTGAGAGCTAATTTCCATAATGGCCTTAAATTAATTTCCACAATATATATTTACATCTTTTATGATATGTGCAGTACATTTTGCAGTACTTTTGCCTGTATAAAGACACGGTAGACACATTTGTAAGAAATTTTCGCTCCAGAACATTTTCGCAATAAAATATAGCAGAGCTCTAATTTCCATAATTTATTAATTGCAACATTATGAAAGAATTTTCTGCCTCTTATTTTAGTAATATGCTTTTTTATTTATTACAAAATTAAGCATATTGACCGATATCTTACGAATAATAAAAACATATTAAGGAATTTGATTTCAGTAAACATTGATAAAAGTATTCATATTAGTTAATGAGAAAACTCATACAAACAGAATATTAAATGGTTAATTTATGGCCAATTTTAAACCAATAAATTTCTGTTTATAAATCTCTTGTTAAGAAAGAAGAATAATTGATTTAATTGTTCGTAATTTTCATTTATTTAGAAATTGTTTATCTTCAGTTTTTTAAAAGAAAAACTTTTTTTTAATGTTTACCCTTGTGCTAAAATTTAAACATTTTTAAGCTGAAAGAGGGAAACATTTTTTTATTATTATTAATAACTATTATGAAACTTCACGAAAATAAATAATATGATAAGATAAAAATATTTCAATATTGCAAGCAAACAATTTTTTTTAAAAAAGCAAAATCTGAATGGGTTCAGATTTTAACTCAGTCACCCAAAAGGATTTCTCAAATTTTATTACGCTCTCGCTAAGGTCGCAGTCAACAAGTCTACTTTTTGCACTTATTCATGCTAACAGACTGCTTTTTATCTTTTTAGCTTTATTATTAAGCATCATGTTTTTCGCACATATGTCAAATGCAATTTAAGAATAAAAAAGCAAATATTTTAAAAGCAGCACCTGTTTAGAATTTCCAGTATACAGTCTCATGCACTGGAGATGAAAATGTTTTATTTAGTACAGTGGGGCCGCTGCACTTATTTCTGCTAACAGACTTCTTTTTATCTTTTTATCTTTATTATTAAGCTTCAATTTCTTCGCACATATGCCAAGTACAATTTAAGTATATAACTGCAAAAATTTTAAAAGCAGCATATGTTTAGAATTTCCAGTATACAGTCTCACACACTGGAGATGGAAATGTTTTATTTAGTACAGTGGGACCGCTGCTCTTATTCCTGCTAACAGACTTCTTTTTATCTTTATTATTAAGCCTCATTTTCTTCGCACATATGCCAAGTATAATTTAAGTATAAAATTGCAAGCATTTTAAAAACAGCATATGTTTAGAATTTACGACAGACAGTCTCACGGACTGGAGGTAAAAATGTTTTATTCGGCAAAGTGGGGCCGCTGCTGAATAAAATAGCTAAAAAATTATAAAGCTAAAAATGATAAAGATAATAAATAAAAGCTTAATAAATTAAAAGCTTAATTTATTAAGCTTTTATTAAATTATAATAAATTAAATATTAAATATGTAATAATTAATAAATTAAAAGCTTAATTATAAAGCTAAAAAAGATAAAAAGAAGCAACTTACTTCTTTTTATCTTTTTTAGCTTTATAATTAAGCGTCACTTTCTTCGCACAATAAAATTTAATAACAAAATTGCAAAAATTTTAAAAGCTGCATAGCAGCATATGTTTAGAATTTCCGATAGACAGTCTCACGCACTGGAAATAAAAATGTTTTATTCCACACAGTGTTGCCGCTGGTCGCTTTCAAACCGTTGAGTTTGTTATTCAAAAATACATTTAAGTTTAACAAAATATGAAATATAAAATTCGAAATTAAAATTTGGGCTTCCAGGTGCACATATTCGGATGAAGCGCTAGATTACTCGAAATTAGATCTCCCTAGGTTCTGTCGTTTTTTCACACTGCGAAGAACATGCATACATGCATGCATAATTCATTATTTTATTTCTTTAAAATAATAGAGGGCGATAATATTTGCTAGCAAAAATTTGAAAAAGGCTTCGCCGTTCATAGGGGGCGGCCCAAAATCACGTTTCGAGACTAATAGCCCATTCGGGCTAACACCGCTTTGGGTTAACAAAGGAAATTACAGTAATTAATATATTTTTCAATAATAGTAAAGTAAATATATTTTTCAAAGTATTAATTTTACATAGTTTTGTTTAATTTGTTTCACTTTGGGGTTAATTGGGTCAAAACACTTATATCACATAGTTTTATTGCAATATTAAATTGCATTTTTTTTTTATTGAAATTTTTTTTAAATACGTCATTTTTAAGTATATTTGATTATATTTGACTAAAAATAAAGTCCTAGGCTTTTGAATACGAATTACCTTAGGAAATTAGCAGAATTTCATGAAATAGTAGAAATAACATATTTGAGAATGATTACATTTAATTAAATATAACTTTTCTAATTTTGAATTTAAACTCTCTCTCTCTTCCACTGTAATCAACGTCACGGTTAATATTTTGGTGGTAAAATTATTATGATAGCTAAAAATTATTTTTTATTTAAAAATTATTTCAATACAATCCAAGTACCTTAAGAAGTCTTCTTTACATACTTAATTTAGCTTTTGTTAGGTTTCTCTTATGAATAAATACTATTGAAATACCTTATTTTCTCCGTAATCTTAATATACTATAGCATTTTGGTTTAAATTAAATATTTCGTTAATTTGTCAAATAAATGCTTACTATCTTGAGTGAGATTTTGAAGCATCATTTTCCCTTCCTCCACATCTTGGAATTCCATAACTTGCTCCAGTGATGATTGTTTTAAAAGTTCTTCAGTATTTCCTGATAGATCTGTAAATATGTTGCTTCCACAAGTTGCTGAAAATAACAGAGCAACACATAAAACGTTAAGCGTTTTCATTCTCTTTCTTAATCGCTTCTTCAAAAACTCTTAGGAAAGAAATCTCGAATTTATTAATAAAATTATTGCCAGGAATTTATTTCATCCTCTTAAGAAATGAAAATTTTCTACCTAAATTATTCTTTTAGGTAGCTGAGAAGTTGGCAGCAGTTTAGAGTTTTGTTTTTGATCGTTATTAGTGAGAGGAGGTTTTTTTATCGATGCCTGACAAAATAAAGCAAAATGCTGTAGATTGGTTGCCCATTTACTTACGTAATAATCTGCTATTGAAATCTGAAAACTGATAATGGCGATAAATTCTTTGCTTATTTGTTCGACTGATAAACGAAGGATGAATAAAAGGGTAAAAAGAATGAAAAGCGTATGTGTTAATGATAAAGGATACAAAAATACACTCTGTAGCTTACGTTTGAGGAAAAATAGATAAAACATTTCACTGCTTCGTGAAAATATTACTCTTACAAAGGATTCTGCAAAATATTCCACTACTATTACAACATTTTCCTTAATGCAGTAATTGCTACTTTTTTTTTTTTTTTTTTTACATTAACACATTTGCTGCCAACCACGAGTCATCTTGTAGGTCGAAGTTTGTGTTTAACCGCCAGCTACGAATTAATTCGTTGAACTTTTTTGTTTTACCTACGCCAAATACGATCAAACTCGTACTATTTTCATGTTCTTTGAAGGTATGTGCCTCTGGAGATTAGAGAAAAGCACAACAATTTGGGGCAATTCAAGAGATTTATTATAACTAAAATATTATAAGTATAATATACAGGGTGATTACAATTAAAGTTGAAGTTTCAAAACGCTATTAAGAAAGAACCATTGATGAAAATGACGTCGAATTTGAAAGGATTGTTATTGAAGAAGGTGCAAATCGTATGGCAGAAGAAAAAAATTTAGTTTCAAATTTAGCAATAGATGGCGCTGTACGCGGCAGAATCACGACGAGAAACGAGAAATGATTCGTAAAACAACGGCTAAGGTGTAAGTTACACATTAAAACGCATTGACAAATTAGAATTGTTGAGTATTTTTATTTGCATGACTGTACATATCACATCGAAAGGGGCAAACAACGGATTGCAGTGTCTCCGGGCTGATGTTCAGAATGTGTTGTGAAATGCGTGCCTTTAATTCCGCTAAATTTGCGATTGGAGCACAAAACAAAACATCCTTCAGATATCCCCACAGCCAAAAGACACAGGGAGTAAGATAGGCAATCGGGACGGCTAAGCTGTAGGGAAATGCAAATGACGGCTGATAATTCGAGCATTTCCGAAATGGCTCCTCAGCAGCTGCTTCACGAGATGTGCAATGAGCGGAAGAGCGCTATCTTGCGAAAAATGATTTCATCCACACATCCACGCTGTTGCAGAGCTGGAATCACGTGGTTGCGCAAAAGAGACGCATAGCTTTGACCAGTGACGGTTGCGGTAACAGGACCGGAAGCACCCATCTGCTCGAAAAAATAACACTAAATTTTTTCTTCTGCCATACGCTTTCCGCCTTCTTCAATAACATCCCTTTCAAATTTCACGTCATTTTCATCAGTGATTCTTTTTACTTCCTTGAACGAAGTAAGAAGGAAGTATTGTAATCGCGAAAAGTTTCAGGTAGCATATTTCAACGAAAATATCCATTTTGACCGCTATCGAATGCAATTTAACGATGTTTTTGTGTGACATCTGTACGTAAGGACAGAATATATAATACTCATTTATTCCAAAAAAATTATAAAACTGCTTTAAAATTAATTCTGCAGAGAATTTTTCGTGGCGTCTGTACGAACGTATGTACGTACGTACGTACGTATCTCGCATAACTCAAAAACGTGAAGCCTCAGAACGTTGAAATTTTGTATATAGGACTGCTTTAACATGTAGATGTGCACCTCGTATTTTGGTTGCAATCGGCCGCACCAAAAGTATATAAATATATGTATATATATATCCACTCTGTTACCCGGCTCAGTGATCTCAGTTTCTTTACTCTTATATGTTTGTGAATTGTACATTTTTCGCTTTAAAAATGATTGAATTATGTTGTTTTTATCTTCTGTTTAAGGTTTTCATGACTTTAGTAAATCTCTATGCAATAATTTTAGAATTATCAACAATTTTTTTTTATCAACAAATTTGAAACAGCAGACTAGTGGATTTGTTGCCAATCTAGAGAAATTTAGCTTCGCAACAACAAAGATAACGCCCTCATTTATTATTGCCAATTAAATCATGCTTAATCCTTTCTGTAATTTTTTCGAGGAAATAAGTGTTTAAGATTTACTTCGTAATTTTTAATATAGATATTTTGAGTCTTTATGTAGTTTTGCCTTCTCGCGAGGTGAGAACTGAATTAATTGTATGAGAAATACTCAATCGTCTGTGAAAAACTGTTTCTTTTTTGTTTTGTTTGCTTAATTTCTTTTATACATCATTCTAGCTTTAAAGTATTTGAATAGAACATGTGGCAACGATTAGATAATTCTACTCTTTAAATGATATAAATTTTGTCCATTATGAGTTATAATATGAACAAAATATAATACTGTTAAGTGAATCTAGCTCCAGAGTGTCGCTATGGTAAACAAATACTAGAGTGAATTTTAAAGAATGCATTTATTCTATTGTGGTTTATGCGCTGTCGGCGAAGTAGATTTAATTCAATCCAATAAGCTTAAATTGAATGCAAGAAAAAATGCGCATAATTTAATATTCCGTACAAGGAAGTCATGTGGTATACACATCAGATATTTTTATAGCGTTTTGAAACTTTAATTATAGTCACCCAGTAAATAGTAAAAAAATTCTGAAAGGTTTCAGATTTTCAATTACGTCCAAAGGGGCGTTTTTTTAACATTTTGTGCGTTACCTTTAAATATCATGTATCGCGCATTGAAACTATAAAATTCAGTTCAACAGCAATATCGAAACTTAATTTTAAAATGAGCATATCTTTAGAATTCCCGATACAGAGTATCGGGTACTACAGATAAAAATGTTTTTATTTTCGTACAGTGTTGCCACTGCTCGCTTTGAAATACTTTAGTTTGTTAATCAAAAATTCGTTGAAATGTTACAAAATCTGAAATCGATAGTAATGCAAATTTCAAATTCAAATTAGGGTATCCACATGCCCATATTCTATGAAAGATTATGTTATTCAAATGTTGATGGCTATAGATACCGTTGTGTATTACAATGCGAGAAACATACATACAATTTATGCAGATTCTTCATTATTTATTTTAAATATAAGACAGGGCCATAATATAGGATGGCAACGATTTGAAAAGTGAGCCTTTTAAAGTTTTCGATGCAAAATGGCTAAGCGAAATTAATAGTCCTTCAGAGTAAATTACCCTTTGAACTAAATATAAAGTAAATAACATGGAAACTGTAAAAGTAAGCAAGCAATGTATAATAATATTTGTTATACCAATTGTTGTAAAAATAATTAACCCCTCGTTATAAGCAACAGTCAACTACGAATATACTCGTAGTTGGCATTGCCATAAAATATTTTATCACAAAAACCGATTTTCGATATAACTCTTATAATTAATAAAGAAATTAAACTACTCTATAAATACAATTATCTTTCTCATAACTACACGTTTTGAATTTTTATTTTACAAATAATTAATTAAAATTTGTTGGCGTGGATTTTGTTTTGTCGCTCGGCAGCGAACATGTTAAATTTGTAGTGTGACTGTGAAATTCCAGTTCCTGTGGTATTCATGAAAATTTTCAGTTCTTGCTTGATAATTAAACAGAAGTTATGGAAATGTAATTGTTCACAACATGTGTTAACATGTCATTTTTTAAACATCCTTTATTTATTAATTTTTATTTTTTATCAGCCCAGAAGATAAAGACTCAAAACGGCATTTTGCGTTAAATCATTAAAAGCATTGTATCATTTTTTAAATTGTTGCCGCCAAATAGAGTCGCCCTATATTATATTTAAAGAAACTAAATAATGAAGAATTTGCATGAATGTACGTATGTTTCTCGCATTGTAAAAAGACAACGGTACCTAGAGCCATCAAAATTTGAGTAACATAGTCTTCCATCTGAATATGAGCATCTGGAAGCCCGAATTTTGAATTTCGAATGTATTTTATTTTCAATTTCATATTTTGTAATACTTTAACGAATTTTTGATTAACAAACTTAACGATTTCAGAGCAAGCAATAGCAACACTATATGGAAAAAAAGGTATTTTTATCTCTAGCGTGCGAGACTGTTTATCGGAAATTCTAAAGATATGCTGTTTTTAAATACTTTTAGCCCAAAAGGACATGAACCTAAATGCTTTCGAAACGTGTATGTATGTAAAGGAAAAAACGCGCGTTTATGTTTAATACGGAATCTGAAAGCTTTTAGAATTTTTATTTATTTAGTTAGTTAGTTTACCATCATGTTTTTGCACTAAAGCTCTGCCAATGTTGATATTTTCCAATTTTTTTAATGTGCATAAACATACTTATCTAAAAATATTTCATGATACAAAATAGCAAAATGTTAAAGTCCTGTTTATAAGCAATAAAATGTATGCTCCTTTTAAGCATATTCAGCAATGCAGCGCTATCCGGTGATTTCTCAGAGTATCCCAAATGCTATATTTCGCTACTTTTGTAAAGTTTACAAAACTATAGCCTACAGAATTTTACAAAAGATCAGCACAATGCAGTACAAGTCGATTAGCAGGTGGCATTTAGAAACAGAAGTAAGTGTAGCTAGAATTTGTTAATCTAGCTCCCCCCCCCCGAATACAAGCAGAGTGTTCTGTATCGAGAACTTAATCGTAATCGAGCTTAGAACTGACACGCTCCAAGCATTAGGTAGCTCGCGAATCGAGTGTGGACGTGGACGTACTATAAGTGCTGGTCGTTGAAGTTTTACGCGTGTATTTGTAAGCTTTTAACTACAGTGTGATGTGTCTTTTATATAATAAAGTAGCAAATAATTAAATGCAGTATCGTGTGTAATAAATACTCACAAAAGACAGGGTAAAAGGTAAAACTTTTCTAATTATTTTATTCGGAGGAATTAACCAAGGAATAGCTTGTAATTGAGTTAACAGAGCAGAAAAAAGCTCTCATGGAGAGGCTTGCTACAGTTGTTGTTGGGATACGTGATACTTCCACCTGAACGCACGTATAACGGATTGAACTGATAAGGAAAGATTACGTAAGTTTTCACCGCGCGCTCAA